CTGAGGGAGCTGACAAGTTCCTCCAGAGATATTTTGTTGAGATCTTTAGCTAGCTTAAGTGCTGTGACCATTGGCCTCCATTGCTTGGGTAGACTTCTGATGATCTTCTTTACGTGATCAGCAGTAGAATATCTTTTGTCAAGAACCTTCAGCCCAACAATAAGAATATGGAATCTTGAGAACATTGCTTCTATAGATTCACTGTCTTCCATCTTAAATGCTTCATATTTCTGAATGAGCGCAAGGGCCTTGGTTTCTTTGACTTGTATGTTGCCTTCATGCGTTATTCTTAGAGAGTCAAACATGTTTTTGGTTGTCTCTCTGTTTGAGATTTTCTCATATTCTGAGTATGAGATAGCACTGAGAAGTATTGTTATGGCTTTATGATGGTTTCTGAAATCACGTTTTTACTGGTCAAACATCCTTTTTCTGTCTATCTTCTGACCACTTTCATCCACTGGATGTGTGTATCCATCAATTACCATGTTTCATATATCAGCATCATGGGCCAGAAAGAAGCTCTCAATTCTGTCTTTTCAGTAGTCAAAATTTTCTCCATCAAAGACTGGAGGTTTGCCACTGATTTTGTCCTTGTCCTAATGATAGTCATTGCCGATGTTTTGGCTTGGTCTCACCATAATGTTTTTCTAAAGCTTGGATCTTGTACTGACACGGTTAAGTGTATGAACTCAGAACCAGGCGCTCTGATACCAATTGAAGAAGTGAAAAACACAAGAAGGGGGGGGGGGGGGGGGGGGGTTAAATTGAAAACTTAAAATCAAATGCGTAGTAGACACGATATTTTTATCCTGGTTCGTTTGATCTCAAACTACTCCAGTTCACCCGTCAAGGTGATTTCGCCTCTCTCCAACGAGGACTTAATCCACTAATCAAAAACTGATTACAATCACTACTTTGACAACTGCCAAAGTTTTCTTGAGTACAACTACAACCCGGTTAATCTCAAGAAAAACTAGCTTAATAAAGATAAAAAAGTATTCTGTGTATGGTTGTTTTTCTTTAAAAAAACAGTATCACAACTGTGATATTTTACACAATTTTGAGCGTAGAAAATAATATGTAAGCTTGTAGCGTTTTAGAGATGTATTGCAGTAGTTCAAAATCGTGAATGATTTGTCCTCTTAGCTTGTTTATATAGGAAGAGAAATCTTGTCCAACATAAAGCGTGATAATGGCCATTCAATGTTGTTTCCATATTGAGAAGATTCTTGTCTGAATGAAGTCGTTACATGTGATGTTGTCTTGATTGAGTAGTAATGCTTCAAAATCTTAGAATCTTGTATGCTGCAATTGCTTCAGAACATTGATGACTCAGAGATATGAGGATCTGATGGTATATGAAACTTCTATTCAGAATCAGAGTATTCTTCACTTCAGCGCAGGTTCTGATCATCATTCTCAGCGTAAATTCTGATTACCTCAGCTTGAGAGCTTCTATAGCTTAACTTCTGATGCTGCTTTGGTCAGAATTTCTGCATACAAAATAACCCAAATTTAGAGTTCATATTTGTTCTTTGTGTTTGTTATCATCAAAACTCTAATTAAGGGTTGTAGAATCAAACTATGTTCTAACAATACACAATTACGAAGCTCAAGGGCCACACCATGATTGAGGCTCTTAAAAGGCGCCAGAATATGACTATATAAGGGCCACCCGGAAGAGGGATAAGCGAGATATTCATTCTTGGAATAATACGTAATTATATCGTAGCTTTCAAATCCCCAAATACTCTATAGAAATTTATCCCTTACGGCTCTCTCTATACCTACAGAGAAGCTACTTGTTTTAATGTTTTTAACAAGAACATAAAACAACTGTAAAAGTAATACACTAAAAACAATAACTTTGAATTCACTCATAAATCATGTTTAAGCCTCTGAAACATTAGTTTGTTTTAAATATAATCACTCCCATACCCCACAAGAATGATAAAAAAATTATTTATTTACACTAATTACAAAGTCTACTATTCAATTTATGAACCAATTTGATACCTGAAAGAGACGTATTTCATGTATATATCGATTATAAACTTGTTAAAATGAAGGATCATTTCTTATTGACATAAAGATGACCTGACCGTGGGATAGACCAGTTTGTTTAGCTAACATTTTTTTATCTGTATCAGTAGTGTATCTGCACAAGAAACATAAAATGAGCAATAAAAATGTAACAATACTTACAGTTTCACAGAAAACAGAAACAAAAATGACGGGAAAAAAATAGAAATTTTAAAGATGAACGAACCATGATTTTGGAAGGAGAAATAAGCTTTTTATCAAACGAACCATATAATAGAAGATTAAACGTGATTTAAAGAGTTAGGCAGAGAGACAATATTTCCTCTCCCAATTCTATAAATCTGTCAAGAATACACTAATCAGACATTATCAATATGCTCAATTTAGTGATAATGAATAAACAATTCACCGTTGATTGAATGTTTTAGGAGTATAATAATTACTTAAATTATTTTCGGTATCTACATATACCACAAAAGTAATTAGTAACTAAAAACATAACGCCAAATCTTAATTGAATATCTTCCACCATGCCAGGAACAAGTGTTATTGTCTCAAGCATCATTGCTCAACATTCATACCTTCTCTGGAAAAATGAGATATGTAAGGTACCTAAGACACCTAACGTTCAATAAGCCATTTTGTCCAGAAAAGTTGTTGGTGCGTGATGTTAATTCAGATCAATTGTAACATCTGTTTTGTATGTTTCTCATGGCTACAGTTATAACATCCAAAACAATAAAAAAGATAAATATTGTATATATACAAAACATTGTTAAAAATATATGTAAATAAAGATACACACCCTGAAGCAATTCCACTTCCATTCAGTACCATTTTTTTGTGATCTTTGAGGGCTGAATACCCCAGTAAATCATTATTGTTTTTTCATCTTTGTTCCCACCACCAACAGAAGCAAATGAGAGTATGGCTAAACTAAACTTGACGGAAAACACTTTCGAGAATGGTCGTCGACCACCACAAACAGTGAGAATTATCGTACATCTTTTCATAAGATCAGTATACATAACAATTTAAGAAGCATAATAATTAATAGATCACAATTTAATTGAAAGTATATTAATAATTAATAGATCACAATTTAATCGAGAGAATATTAATAATTATTTTATCTTTTGTATATGAACTCAAGAAAATTAATTTTTTCTTTTTACAGCAATTAACTATCTTTCTTATAAATTAGACAGAAATAGTCCGTATGATATAAGGGGAAATGGTAAATAATTGGATAAACAATAAAAACATTTATCAAATTAAGTTAAATGCATTTAGTCGGATATAACCGTATACTTAAAAAAAAACTTGAATTAAGAAAGGTTTAGTGGCCATTTCCAAAACATATTCATATTAGATATAATTTGAAATTTTAAATAGCATATGAATTGATTTATGTGCGTAGAGATTACGATGTCTACAAATAACCAATGTTTAATGTGCGAGATATAATATAGACATAATGTGCGAGAGATATATATATATATATATATATATATATATATATATATATATATATATATATATATATATATATATATATATATATATATATATATATATATATATATATAACAAATTTACTCTTGTAAAATAATTATAATTTTTCTAAATTATTTTTATAATATTTTAAAATTTATAAATTGATAAAAAAATTATATACACTATTTAGTAAATAATTTCAATTTTTCTTAAAAAATATCATAAATTTTATTATATATGTTAGATAAGCAAAATAAAAATATCTATATATAATAAGTAAACATTACAAATTTTTTTTTTAATTTGATAAAATATAAAATTAGTATCTATATTTTTATGATTTTAATAATTATTTTATTTGAAAATATTTTAATTTATTAAATTTTAATTTTTTATATTTATATATAATAGGTAAACATTGTAAGAAAATATATTAAATTTGATTGAAAAATAAAATTAGTATTTATATTTTTATGATTTTAATAATTACTTAATTTTTAAATATTTTAATTTATTAAGTTTTAATTTTTTATATTATAAAAAGTTAAAAAATTACCCTTAAGACAATTATACATATTTTTCAAAAAATTATTTATTAATATTTTTTAATTTAATATTAATTAATCTTTATTTATCTTTTAGGAAAATATTTAAATATAATTTTATATGTGTAGTTAATACTTTTCTTCAATAAAAATATAATAAATATATTTAAATATTTTTTTAAAAATAAAAATAGAAAGCAATTGCATATGTGTAAGAAGAAATTATACACTTATCATATTTTCATTGAAAAAAATATAAATCATATTTAAGGAAATTCACTTAAAATCGAATATGATAACTTTCAGGATTAACTTATCATATATTCCTCCGTAACAAATTTATAACTAAATTTGATTTTTTTATATATTTAACAATTAATATATTTAATTTATATATAAATTACGTCAGTTAATTATTAAATATATTAAAAAAGTCAAATTTATTTATATTTCATTATGAAGAGAAAATACTAGATTAAAATATAATTCAATTATTGTATCATATCTCTTATCTTGAACAATAAAGAGTCTCTTATCTTAAACACCAAAGGGATCCTTAGCTCTTGGATTAGAACAGAAGTGGCTTAAGATTATAGTTTTTTTTTCTCTTTACAATTATTAAATTGAATGTGTGTTAACTAATAACAAACAAATAAAAATTACTGTAAGAACTAAATCTCTTCAGTAAAAAAATTGTCAAGATTAAAAAGACATTTTTAATTTTTTTATAGGTAAATATTTTTCAATAAAAAGGCATAAATTAAAAAAAAAAAAACTTGGTTCCGTTCCGTTGACGTTGCGTCTCCTTCATCAGTATGAGTGTAAGTCTGTAACCCAACCCCAACCCTAAAAACTAAAAACCGTCCAAAGTGCGTCTTCAACAGTTGATTCTTTTGGTGTTAACAGTTCTCGACGATGGCGGCTGCAATGGTAGCAGAGGCCAGAAAAGCACCGCGACCGGGTAAAGGAGGCTTCGAAGGCCACGGCCTCACCGAAGAAGAAGCGCGCGTGCGAGCCATAGCAGAGATCGTGAACTCCATGGTCGACCTATCTCACAAAGGCCACAAAGTGGATCTCAACGCTCTCAAATCCGCCGCGTGCCGTAAGTACGGCCTCTCACGCGCCCCCAAACTCGTCGAGATGATCGCCGCTTTACCTGACTCCGAACGAGAGGTTCTTCTTCCTAAGCTTCGAGCTAAACCCGTCCGAACTGCTTCTGGAATCGCCGTTGTTGCCGTCATGTCAAAGCCTCACCGGTGTCCTCACATTGCCACCACTGGTAACATTTGTGTTTACTGCCCTGGTGGTCCTGACTCGGATTTTGAATATAGTACTCAGTCTTATACAGGTTATGAACCTACCAGTATGCGCGCAATTCGAGCAAGGTAAGTTTCTTTTCATTTCATTTTCTATAAATGAAATAGAAGACATTAATTTGATGATTTTTTTTGCTTTCGATTTAGGTATAATCCTTATGTTCAGACAAGAGGTAGGATAGATCAGCTTAAGCGATTAGGTCACAGTGTAGACAAGGTTTGGAGCTCTATTATTGTCTGTTGAGTGATCCAAGTGCATGAAATATGTGTGAATGTAGTTGATTGTAATGTGTTTGTGTGTGTGGTTTATTGTTTTTCAGGTTGAGTTTATATTAATGGGTGGAACTTTCATGTCTCTTCCCGCGGATTATCGTGATTACTTTATAAGGAATCTTCATGATGCTTTGTCGGGACACACCTCTGCCAATGTAGAAGAGGCGGTAACGTACTCTGAGCATAGTGCAACCAAGTGTATTGGCATGACAATTGAAACGTGAGTTGCCTGCCATTTAATAATTTGCATGTTGCAACAAATGTTAAATTTTGAGTCTTTGCTGTATAAATTTTTTTAATAGAGTAGTGCTTTGGACTTTTTGGTATTTGGACATGTGGGGAGAACATTTTTTAAAATTATTATAGGGAGAATGGATCGTATGGAGGTTAATATATAGTTAGAATTTGAGAGAGACCAAGAAAAACAGAGTAGTCAATGTTAGAACAAGCACAAAACCTTGTATGTGAATCAATGGAGATGATGGATAATTTTGGTGAAATTAGAGGATTGGGGAAGATCAAGTTTAGAGAGAATAAAGATTAATTGAGAGGGTAAAAAATCATATGGCATTAATTCCATTCAACATGTTACAAAATGTATATATATTGCCTGCTAACACTAAACAAAGTAACAAAACAGGGTTTCCTGCCGCATACTGGCAGCTTTTCCAAAATAGCTTCTCAAATAAGCTATTCTCCAAAAACACTTCAAAACCAATTACACTGCATTTGACTTATTCTAATCATTCAACACACCACCTTAAGTCAAATGCTCAATGTTCTTCATGCCCAACCTCACCACGAGTCGCTTGAAAACATCATTCGTAACCGCTTTCGTCAACAAGTCCGCGACCTGTTCTTCACTTCTGCAGTAGCTCAAACGTAACTGTCCAGAACTTACTAAATCTCTCAAGTAATGGAATCTCATCTCAATATGCTTGCTCCTCCCATGTGCTATGGGATTCTTAGCAAGGTTGATGGCTGAAACATTGTCCACCAACAGCAGAACAGCTCCTCTCGTGTTGCTGTCCAGCTCACGCAGCAGGTTCACTAGCCACACAGCTTGGCATGCACATAACGAAGCTGCGATATACTCCGCCTCACAAGAAGAGAGAGCAACCACCGGCTCCTTTTTAGAACACCAAGAGATTGGTGCTCCTCCGAACATAAAAACATAACCGGCCGTTGATTTCCGATCGTCCTTATCTCCGCACCAATTGGAGTCGGTGTATTCGAGTAATTCGCAACTTTTGCCCATGTCACTTGCAGGAAATAAAATCCCACAGCCAAGAGTACCTTTCACATATCTAAGGATCCTCTTAACCGCTGCCAAGTGTGATACCTTCGGCCTCTCCATGAACCTACTTGCAATACCGACACTAAACGCTAAATCTGGCCGCGTATTGCACAAGTAACGCAATGATCCTATCAATCTCCGGTATTGAGTAGGATCCACATCTTGCTCATCTTCACTCTTGGACAGCTGTAAACGTGCCTCGGCTGGTGTTGTGGCAGCATTACAATGCTCCATATCACACCTCTTCAAAATCTCCATTGCATACCTTCTTTGATGCATGAGCAGTCCCAACTTTGTTTTTTGGAACTCTATGCCTAAGAAGTATTTCATAGAGCCAAGATCACTCATTTCAAACTCCCCCATAAGCTCTTCTTTGAACTTTGAAATGTACTTTTCACAACTGCCCGTAATCAACAAATCGTCCACATAAAGACAAAGTATGATTACTCCTTTGCTTTTATCCGACTTCACATACACACCGTGTTCGGATACGCACTTCTTGAAACCAATGTTGATAAGAAAAACATCTATGCGTTTGTTCCAAGCTCTTGGAGCTTGTTTCAAACCATAGAGTGCCTTCCTTAATTTGTAGACCCTTTCCTCTTGATTTTGTATCACAAAACCAGGTGGCTGTCCAACATACACTTCCTCATCCAATGGACCATTCAAAAACGCCGATTTGACGTCCATTTGATATAACGACCAGCTGTTGTTATTTGCAATCGCAACAACTAACCGGATGGTTTCATGCCTTGCAACCGGTGCGAATACCTCATCAAAGTCTATGCCTTCTTTTTGCAAAAATCCCTTTGCTACCAATCGAGCCTTATGCTTGATTATCTCGCCTTTCGGATTTGCTTTTACTTTGTAAACCCATTTCACACCAATCGCCTTTTTACCTTTCGGTAAATCAACCAACACCCAAGTATTGTTCTTCTCAATCGATTTCAACTCTTCCTTCATTGCACACATCCATTTTGGATCGCTTAATGCCTCCTCCGTATTTACCGGTTCGGATTCGGCCATTAAAGCGAAATGAATAAGATCACCATCATTGTTGATCTCACTATCTCGGAACAGTTCACAATCTCGGAGTCTTTGAGGCATACCTCTATGCCTTGTTGGTCTACCCTCATTCACAACATTGTTTTCAGCTGCTGTAGGTGCTGGTACAGCGGCATCAGACAACTCCGGATCAGAGATTTCAAAAAACTGCTGCTGCTGATTTTCTGCTGCTGTTTCTGCACTTTTGATTTCATCAAAAGTCACGTCCCGACTTATCACGATCTTCCGATTCTTCTCATCAAACAGCTTGTAACCACCAGTAGAGTGATATCCAACAAATATCAACTTCTCACCTTTATCATCCAACTTCTTTCTAAGTTGATTTGGTACATGACGATATGCAATCGATCCAAAAACACGCAAATGAACCACACTCGGTTTGAAACCACTCCAAACCTCTTCCGGTGTGATTTTCTCCAGCTTCTTAGTAGGACACCTATTCAACAAGTAGGTGGCTGTAGATACGGCCTCACCCCACAATTCTTTAGGTAACTTCTTCCCACAAAGCATGCTACGCACCATGTTCATTATTGTACGATTTTTCCTCTCGGCAGCCCCGTTTTGTTGAGGCGTATATGGAGGCACCACCTCACGCACAATACCCTCAAGATCACAAAACTTCCCAAATTCACTAGAGGTATATTCACCTCCACCATCCGTTTTGAGAATTTTGAGCTTCCGGCCGCTTTGACGCTCCACCATGGATTTGAAACTCTTGAACACTCCAAATACCTCATCCTTTCTCTTGATAAGATAAGTCCAAAGCTTCCTACTAAAATCGTCAATAAACGTAACAAAATATCGATTGCCGCCATATGTCTCTACTTGCATTGGTCCACAAACATCGGAATACACCACCTCAAGTAAGTCTTTGGCTCTCCGACCCGCATCCTTGCTAAACACCTTCTTGTGTTGCTTAGATGTGACACATTCCTCACACAATTCTGTCGGAACACTAATATGTGGCAGCCCCGTTACCATTCCACTTTGTTGCAACATCTTAAGATCCCTAAAGTTAAGGTGACCAAGACGGTAATGCCATAGCCACTCCTCTCTACTTGCCGCGGTAGCTAAACAACGATGCTCCATAACCTTTAACTCAACCTTAAAAGTTCTGTTGGCAGCCATCAGTGCTTTTAGAATCAACACACCATTTGAATCTAAAACGCGTAACATCTTATTCTCCAATCGAATTAAGTACCCTCTTTCAAGCAATTGGCCAATGCTTAAAAGATTGCACTTAATTCCCGGTATGTACAAGACATCTTTGATCCTCGACTGTCCTCCATTCTTCCTTCCGATCAAAACATCTCCTACCCCTTCGGAGCTTAAAGTAGTGTCGTCGGCAAACTTGACTTTACTCTTTGTCGCTTGATTGATTTGCACAAACCAATCCTTTCGACCCGTCATATGTGTTGAACAACCGGAATCCAAGTACCATTCATCTTTAATTTGGACTCCCTCACGCACGGTAACTAATGCATTTCGATCCGAACACATTTTTTCGCCACTTTCCAAAACAGTACAGCTGCTGTCCCACACACTATCATCACAGTAGCTGCTGCCCGGAACATTAACAATGCCATAATTCTCTTCCGTAATCATCACAAGAAGGGTATCTTCATCATCTACCTCTTCCCTAGCAACCTTCGCCTCATCCGCATCCTTTTCCTTGCGTTTTGAGCGACATTCTTTCGCAAAATGCCCAAGCTTTTGACAATTATAACACTTCACAGAACTTTTGTCAAACGGTTTGTGGGCGCTTTGATTACCATCTTTGGAGCTTCCTTCACCCTTTGAATTTTGTGGATCTTTTCCACCAAAATTCTTCTTATTTTTTGAAGTCCACTTCCCTTTCGATCTCTTGTTCTTCTCATGTAAACGCGCTTGCAAAGCGATCTCCGCTTTGGCTTTGTCGGCACTTCTCTCATCCATCCTTTGTTCATGCGCCTCTAACGAACTTTGCAAATCATCTTTACTCAAAGTTGTTAGATCCTTTGACTCCTCAATAGCCACAACAATGTTATCGAAACGTGATGTTAACGAACGCAACACTTTCGATACAACATTCTGCTCGAGGATCGTTTCGCCACATGACTTGATTTGGTTGACTAACCGGGTAATGCGCGTGATGTAATCGTTGATCGTTTCTTTGTCCTCCATTTGCGTTAACTCGAATTGACGTTTGTAAGTTTGTAACCTTACCACCTTCGCTTTGACGGCACCGGCATACGCTTTCTCCAAGATTTCCCATGCTTGTTTTGCGGATTCACAATCACCAACCTTCTCGAAATTGTCGTTATCAACACACGAATGAATCAAGAATAGAGCTTTGTAATCCTTCTTCTTTTCTTCCTTGTGTGTAGCCCTACGAGCATCGGTAGCATCTGCCTCTAATGGTGTAACTCCATTGATGACGATCTCAAGAACCTCTTGATAACCAAACAGAACCTTCATTTGTTTCGCCCATTTGTCGTAGTTCTTCGAATCAAGAATTGGGAGATTGGTGGGAATTCGATCATTGGAAACGGTAGCCATTGTTGGTGTTGCAGCGGATTGGGATCAATAACCAATGCTCTTGATGCCAAATGTTAGAACAAGCACAAAACCTTGTATGTGAATCAATGGAGATGATGGATAATTTTGGTGAAATTAGAGGATTGGGGAAGATCAAGTTTAGAGAGAATAGAGATTAATTGAGAGGGTAAAAAAATCATATGGCATTAATTCCATTCAACATGTTACAAAATGTATATATAGTGCCTGCTAACACTAAACAAAGTAACAAAACAGGGTTTCCTGCAGCATACTGGCAACTTTTCCAAAATAGCTTCTCAAATAAGCTATTCTCCAAAAACACTTCAAAACCAATTACACTGCATTTGACTTATTCTAATCATTCAACAGTCAATAGCTACCAATAGAGGTGCTATCCCGCTATATCGGAGCGGAGGCTGACTGATAAGGGGAAAGCCTTAGCGGTGCAAAACACTATAGCGGCCACTATATGGTAAATAGCGAGATAGCGGAGCAGAGTGTTTCCGGGCCTGGAGTGGTTTCTGGCCCACTATCCCTTTCCCCTCTAAAAAACCAAAATGGCCCCTTAAATTTACAATGTTTTAAGGGTAATGTTTTTCAATCAAATTTGAGTTGAGACTCAACCTTACCCTTCTTTCATAGTCGTTTATGCACTTCAAGAGTCATGTGTGCTTTGATTTATGAATATTTTGAGTTGAGTTATTTGTTTAATTTTACATTAAATATATGTTTGTAATTATTATATGTAATTTGTCCAAAATATGATCAAATAGAGTAGTCATTTCGCTATCCCACTTTTCGGGTTGGCCGCTCCACGCCGCTATCCGGGAATGACTACTATGAGAAAAACTACAAGTCAGGCTATTAAGATATTTGTCATTAGAGGATTTTAGTTTAAATGATTTGTCGTTAGAGAATTTTAGTTTAAAACGATTTGTCATTAGACGTGATTCATAGGAAGGCATTACAGTGCCGTTTGGTTTGATTCATGTCACTGAACACCTCTATGAAAGAAGACTGTTTATTTTTTTAATTATCTGGTTTAGTTATGATTTCTAGGGTTTTAATGCATTTGTTGTTTGACCATATCAATGATTATATACGTGGAACCTTTGGGTAAATGTTAAATAGTTATAGTTAATACAACACATCAGTGAGCAGCTTATCATGTTTTGCATTTCTTAAATTCTCAGGAGGCCAGATTATTGTCTTGGGCCTCACTTGCGACAGATGCTTTCTTATGGTTGTACACGATTGGAGATTGGAGTCCAAAGTACCTATGAGGATGTTGCTCGTGACACTAATAGAGGACATACTGTTGCTGCGGTAGCTGATTGTTTTTGCCTGGCTAAAGATGCCGGTTTCAAGGTTTGTCTCCGTCATATCAATCTGTACCTTCTTCAGTGACAGCTTTGTTCTGTCAAACTATTCTCCCGTATACTCCTTATGCTGAATCTGTGTGTTAAAAAATTGAAAGATGCATATTCATAATAAGCAACTTTCTATATTCAAATTACTCTCCAATGGTTTGGATTTCCCTAACTATATCCCTTTTGAATACAAACTAGGCAGTAGGTTGGTCATGAGAGTTATAAATATACTATTTGTTGTCATTGTGGTGATGCTTTTCTATTTTGGTTTTTGCTTTAGGTTGTTGCTCACATGATGCCTGATCTTCCAAATGTTGGTGTTGAAAGGGACATGGAAAGTTTCCGAGAGTTTTTTGAAAGTCCAAAGTTTAGAGCAGATGGGCTTAAAATATACCCCACTCTTGTAATACGCGGAACTGGGCTTTATGAGCTCTGGAAAACTGGCAGGTATCTATCAAATATGTTGTATTCTTTCAAATGATTCTTTCTCAAACTCTTTAATTTTTATCTCATTATTAATCTGGATTAAAAGTCATGTGGAAAGTCAATTTGTTTGTTAATATCATTGTAGGTATAGAAATTATCCACCTGAGCAACTTGTGGACATCATAGCAAGGATCCTTGCAACGGTACCTCCTTGGACACGTGTTTATAGAGTTCAGCGGGATATTCCGATGCCTTTGGTTACTTCTGGGGTTGAGAAAGGGAATCTAAGGGAGCTAGCATTAGCTAGAATGGAAGATTTGGGATTAAAATGTCGTGATGTTCGGACCAGAGAAGCTGGAATCCAGGTGATTATCTAGAACCAGTCTCGTTTGGGAATTTTATATAATAAAGATTTATGTTTCTCGAGACACTTTGTATACTAGTATTTCGTAGAGCATCAACTGACATTCTGTATTTCTTGTAGGATATTCATCACCAAATTAAGCCAGAAGAGGTTCAACTTGTTCGTCGTGATTATACAGCAAATGAAGGTTGGGAAACATTTCTGTCATATGAAGATACTCGGCAGGTAATTTAACCATTCTTCTCTCAGACTCTTGTTTGTGCCTATCCTTTGTGTATTTCATCATTTTATGCTTTTAAGATTTGTAAGACGCGAGCCTAGTCTGTAGCTGGCACTGTTCCTGTTGTGCATATTTTTCCTTGATTATTGTGCAAACATGGTCATGACTTTGGTTGTGCTGTCTCCTATTTAACAGGATATCCTCGTTGGTTTGTTGCGACTGCGAAAATGTGGCCGAAACACTACTTGTCCAGAGCTTATGGGAAAATGTTCTATTATTCGTGAGCTCCATGTTTACGGAACTGCTGTACCAGTTCACGGGCGGGATTCTGATAAGCTACAACACCAGGTAATACTGTCATACTAATACATCAATGACATGTTAGATCACAAAGAATCTTCGCATGGTTCTATTCGATAAGACTCTGCCTAGAATCACTGAGTTTTGCTTTTGGATTTATGGAAGCTGCAGAGCCATTAATAGTGTATATAAAACTCTTTAGCCAAAAAACATGTCCTTTTGTGTCCTATAATTGACCTACTTTTGACCAAAATTATTGTTAACAGGGTTATGGTACGCTTCTTATGGAGGAAGCTGAACGGATTGCTTGGAAAGAACACAGATCAACTAAGATAGGTGTGATTTCTGGGGTTGGCACACGCCATTACTACAGAAAATTGGGATATGAACTTGAAGGGCCTTACATGGTGAAACATTTATTGTAATAGTTTATCATAGTTATTTTCCATGTAATTTTGTAGGCTGTTAGTGATGTGTTTTATATACCTCATAAATTATATCAGCTAGTATTGCAAATTATGATACTGGTTTTGTAGTTTGGTAGTTTGCTCCAGGAAAATGTATTACCTTACATTTGCTTTCATGTATGCGAATACCAATTTGTAAACTGAATCAATCAAGATATATTCCACCATGTTACACCGCGAATTCCAGCTTGAATCTCAGTCATGCCATTTGTTCAGATATTTTTGCTAACTAGTTTCTGATTTATAACTCTTCTATGAGTTAGCAATGATATCACACTCAAAACACAACCATGACATGACAATGGAATAGTTAATTCTATCCTTTCCAAAGAATCAATTTAGATTAGTTTATTTGCAAGTTTCTTCATCAATTTGAATATCTGGTCCTCACAAACAAGTCTCATCATACTAAGTTGCATAAGTATAAAGCAAATAAAGTATCTAAACCATGGATCAAAAATTTATTTATGCATAACTAAGCATTATAGTGACTGTATAGCATATGGTTCTTCAACTTCTCAATAAGTGCCTTGCATGAAGCGTTGGTTGATGTTGATAACATTAGAAGTGAATGAAATGTAGTGATTGGAATGAATATAAATTCATATTTCTTATAAACCTTAACATAGTAACAGAAACCAAAGCTTCCAACCAGATCCTAAGTGTCTAGGCTTTAAATTTTGTCTACAAACCATGGAAGGAATGAGCACAAATTAAGGAACCGGCATGTAACATATGGTGCCTGCAAAAGTGGTTCTACGGAAAGCATTCCTTTATACAGTTCAATGCTAATATAGTTCCTTAGAATTTGATAAAGATTATAAACAGGTAAAGCTTACAAATTTTACATTTTTCAACAATCAAGATATTGAAATCTATTCAAGTTTTGACTTCTGGTTTAGTGAAGCCATAGTACACAGTTTTTCTGATCAGATGACCCAAAACCAAGCTATAATAGACCCAACAGCCAAACCAAAAACTAAGAACAACACACTCACAATCCCTGCAGTCTCTGCATGCTGCAACTTCACAGTTTTAGGAGCCAAAATCATCAAAACACTAGTCAGATATCCATTTGTAAGCCCTAAAAGACAAGTCAGAATTGTCACCGGAATCTCCGTCCGGAAGAATTTCGGACCGCGCAAGCATCCAAAGAAAAGAGGGAAAAACAACAGTCTTGCTATGCAACAGCCTACTGCAATTTTTGCATTCTCTAATAGGTGTACTGCAGTAAGACTCTTGCCAACAAAGTCGAACACATTAAAGCAGGTAATCAAGAGAATCGGATACCAATCGTTAAGAACCTTAGAGTGGACATCCTCCGTAATGTAACCCGGAAATATTGCAAGCGTCACAACATAAATAAGCGAGATGCCAAATCCATACCACTTGATTGTTCTTACAGTATCCCATACAGTTGACCTCCATACAAATCCGGTCAAAGGACCGGTCTCTTCCTCGGCAGCGATTGCTTGAATCTTAAGTTCCTTATAGTACTTCATAACGGGAAGTTTTTGTGCTAGATTGTATAAAACTATACATATTAACATAATCACAATTGATACAAAAAAGTAGAGATTTGCGCTCTTTCGCAGGCCGGAGGCATCTTGTGTGTAAACAACTTTTGTAAATATCCTCAGGAAAGAAACAAGTATACCTGAAGTAGAAAACAATTTCAGTTGTTGTAAGAATCAATTTTATGTTCTAATCTTGTCTTCAAATTTTCGCAACAATTTCGTTCTTAATATAAAAATTGCAGAACCTTATCAGAACAAATAAGCCAAAAATTGAGTTTAGCAGAATAGCATAAGATAAGATAAGATACCAGAGGTGGCATTTCCAACGACGACAGCCTGTGTGTATCTCTCCGGCAACTCACCAGCAGATCCAACAACAGAGCCCTGCACCAAAGCATTAGCCACACCAGCAACCCCAACTGCCCCAACAGTAACATAGAATCCATTATTCAACCCGACACGACCCTTAACATAAACAACATCAAGCAAAGGAACAACCAGCAGAGAAACAACAAACAAAGCAAGGCCGGCATTGATCCTTACATAAGCATGACATTTGTGTCCGTTAAGGATGATGAGGAAGAGACCAGAAAGACTAATGAGTGTGGAAACTATAGCAAAAATACGGTCAACGCTTGATTGAGGGTAAAGGTAAGAGAAGTAGTCAACGGCTGTAATGAATGAGTTCCATGGGAATAAGTAACCGATTCCAAGTGTGAAGTAGATTATACATGCTAAGTTCCATGTGTCTTGTGGTGGTTCTTTCTTTGTACTTGAATATGAAGGTAGAAGAAGGGTTGATTCTATGATTTTGTTGCTGTTATTGTGTTGTGGTGTCACCATGTTTGTATGAATCAAATGTGTCCAAAGTTTTCCAATTATGTCAATATCATATAATTTTTTTAGATGCTTGCAAAAGGTCTAAGTGTCTTTGGTTATGCAATATCCAATGACAAAAGTTGTTAGTTGGTTAATTCTTGTTATGTAGTGATTTGAGCTTTTAGCATGTGTATTTGGGTCTGAGCATTTTGTCTATATAAAGAGCCATTATGTTTGTAATCAAAGAAGCAATAATAATACAGTCAGTTAGAAAGTTAGTTACACTCAACTAACTCACAATTTCTCTCTCTTCTCTTCTTCTTCTTCTTCTTCTTCTTCTTCTTCTTCTTCTTCTTCTTCTTCTTCTTCTTCTTCTTCTTCTTCTTCTTCTTCTTCTTCTTCTTCTTCTTCTTCTTCTCACAAAATCATCTTTCTTGAATCCTTTGTTCCATCAAATTGGTATCAATAGCTTGTTTGCGATTCAAAGAGAATCTAATGGCAGACAAATCAACAACATCAACACAATTTCCAGCAAATCTACTGATTTTCAAAGGTCAAAACTATCAACGGTGGATTGCGCAAATGAAGGTTATTTTCAGATTTCAAGATGTCGTAGGAATCTTGAATGATGGAATATCAGAACTGGAAGTAGATGCTACGGAAGTCTAGAAAGCTGTGCACAAAGATCAGAGGAAGAAAGATGGCAAAGCACTGTTCTTGATTCACCAATGTGTGGATTGTGACATATTCGAGAAGATAATTGAAGAAGAAACAACAAAAGGAGCTTGGGAAAAACTGAAATCTTTGTATGGTGGAGATGAGAAATCGAAGAAGGTGAAGTTAGAGACACTGTGGAAGCAATCCGAGATACTTTAGATGAAAGAGGATGAATTTATTTCTGCATATTTCTCAAGAGTTGTAACGATAACAAACTAGAAGAAGGCATGTGGTGAAACGCTTACGGATCTGCAAAAGATAGAAAATGTATTGAGATCTTTAATCGCAGATTTCGATTACTTTGTTGTGATAATTGAAGACGCCAAGAATCTATCTGAGATGAAGTTGGAAGAACTTCAAGCTTCACTAAAGGCTCACAAAATGAGGCTGCAGCAGAAAAACTCAGAAAGAGAGAAGGCAACTGAACAAGCATTGCAATCAAGATTCATCAAGAAAGCTGAAAAAGAGAAGTAGAAGCAGCGAAAGAATCTTGCTGGTGATGAGAAGTCAAGCAAGAATACTGATTCGAAAGGTGTGGGTAACAAGTACTATGGGAAGAAAGTTGACACGAAAGAGGTGCAATGTTACAATTGTCAAGGTTTTGGCCACTATGCTAGAGACTGTCGAAGAAAGAAAGCTGCAAGGTCGAAAGATAGTGATGAAGCTCAATATGCAAGAGCTGAAGATAGTGATTCTGATGATGTGTTGTTGCTCGTGAACACTCAGTCGACTACTGAGAAAAATAACATGTGGTATCTGGATTCAGGATGTAGCAATCACATGACTGGCAATAAAAACCGGTTTACCAAGTTAGACGAGTCAGTCGAAAAGGTGATAAAGTTTACAGATGGCAGGTGTAATACTATGGGAGAATTGAATGTCATACTGGTTTTTGCGTTTTATCGCAAATGTTGCAGTTAGCAAGATTTGCCACCGAGTTTTCTTTTATCCAAATTAAGGAAAGGGTGAAAAGAACAGAAAAAGACATTTTCAAGAGTTTTCTGAGTAAGGGGGGTAGATTATGGAAAGGGAAGGTGTTAGCACCCTTTTCATCCGTAGTTTTCTATGGGCTCTTGGATGCTTAGTTCTTTTTGAAATACCTTGTGCTTTGTGTTTTTGAAAAGTATTTGAAAATGCCTTAGTGCGGAGATTCTCTTTATGATAACTCTTGTATTAGTCCTCAAGAGTGTTGATAAAACAAATGTTTTTGAAAGTGTTTTTGAAATGCCATAGTGAAGCAGTTTGCTTTATGGTAACTCTTGTATCAGTCCTCAAGAGTGTTGATAAAGCATTTTCTGAAAACGTTTTTGAAAGTTTTCCTTTTGTGTAGGTGTAAAAAGTTTGTTTGAGCAAGCATCTAACAACTATCTACTTTACTCGAAAGGGTCGTTCTTTTCCTCCTTTGCTTTAGACAAGGCTAGCCTACTATTAGTGAGTAGGTAGCCATAGTCGTTTGGATGTATGAGGGACATTCATGGGTCATCGTACAATCATAAAGGCAACATATAGAGACACTTTAGCAATTTTGTTTAAGGGACTAGATCATTTATCGAAAGGCAACACCGAAGGGTCATCGAGGGACTATGATATTTGGATCCGAGGGTCTTTGCTAAAGCGTCCCCACTTTTGAGGGACACGACTGTTTTATTTTCCAAAGGCAACCAAAGTGGGGTACCCTAGAGGTGCGCATGTGCAAGTGATTCAGTTCATTTATCTTTGTTATTAGGTTCGCTAACGTTTGATTTCAATCTTGCCATACAAGCCTAATTACTAGCAGTTAATATTTTGCAGAAATTTAAAGTGCGGGAATTTAAATCTACGCTATTACAGTGCTTTGGGGAGGGAGTATTTACATATCCAAATGGGGGAAAAAATAAAGAAAAGCGATAAAGACCTAGTTTAATCTATTACATACTGTCAGCAGATACATTATTATGAAAAATGCGAGAACAAGATAACGCGCGCGAAATAGAGACGAACGTCTAAAGACCCTAAGAAATTTCTAAGTAAAACATAAAAATCTTTTTTGGTTGTTTTTGTGCTTATTAAGAAAATACTTAAAATTAACTTAAATCTAAATTTAATTAAGAAAATAAATATCAAATAAAATTAAACCTAATTCTAATATTTTTGTATTTTTTTTGTTAAGAAAGGTTTGAATGAAATAAATCTAAGTCTATCATTTTTATTTTAAGAAAGATGTTAAAGTAATTAAATAAATTAATTAATAATTTTAATTTAAAAAAAATAAACTAGACTTAATTTTGGATGATTTTTGTTTTAACGTTAATAAAGAAAAACAAAAAACAAAAGAAATAAACAAAATAAAAAATAAGACAATGAGTAGAGATCCTTCGATCCCGGGAAGGAACTGTCCACTTCAATCCAGGGTATGAGCTGTCTCTTTCGATCCAGGTATGAGTTGTCTCCTTCGATCCAGGATATGAGCTGTCTCCTTCGATCCAGGGTATGAGCTGTCTCCTTCGATCCAAGACAGGAGGTGATTTTCGACCTAGACCTGGTGTCGAACCCCGAGCTTTTCTAGCTTAAACACACATTCTTCACCACTGGTCCATCTGTTAGATCATTAAGACAAACAACGGGAAAATAATATATTTGAAAATATCATAAAATACCGAGGTGTTAAAACCATGACACTGATTTGGGCTGAAGGTGTTTACATAGGGAGATACGACTAAAACATCACAGGCTACCCTAACAATGGTGTTTCTGGATTCCTTCCTTAACCTGGCATGTGCTATGTAAAAAAAAAATCTAAACAACAACATGAGTATGGATCTGTGCATCGAATTTATTTAAATTGCATGAACTGAGAGATCAGAGCATGAGAATTTTACCCTACCGGAGCAACAAAATCTGCTTGTTTTAAGAGGTTTTAAACGTCAAGGAGGGCTGGTAGGCACTCCTGGGATCCTCAAGGTGATGATGGGACGCCTGAAACGGACTGAATGTGGCTGGAATTGGCTCTTCGAATTTCAATACTTCGCTATATTTTTTTGGCAATTTCTGTAGCTCTCTAGGAAATGTACATGCGTGTATGAGGCCGCCCCTTTGCGTTGTTGGGTTTATATATGCAAAGATTTAGGTCAACATTTGTGTACCAAATATTTGGTCATCATGAGGGAGATATTTGATTTGATTTTTTTCATGAAAACTTGCCATATTTGATCCAATCATGCTTTTCTGCCAGCTTGCTCTAAGTTGTTTTGGGCCTCCAACCTGATGGGAATCGAAAGCCTGGGATACCTTTGGTCGAAGCTTGATAAATATGGCAAGAATCAAGTCTTTAACATGGCCTTCAAGAATTTGAAAATCATCCATTTATGTTACATTCTTTCCATTTTTGTAGGTTGCATGAACCTGAACACTTTGGCTCCTTCAAACGCCCTTCAGCGTTGCTCTTCGATTATCCCAGAGTTTTAATTCAAAGTGTTCAGAAACTTCTTTATTAGAGCTTCTTCGATCAATCAGCTTCTGCATTGATTGCTTGATTATCTAAATACATCTTGCTCTGATATGCTAATCGAAGGACACTTTGTTAACATGCCCTCGAAGTACACCTTATCCTTGCTCTTCAATTGGTCGGGAGTTGTCTCCTTCGAATGAACCACAGATATATCCTTATAGCTTCTTCGGTTGAGTCTATCTACTTACCTTAGCTGCTTGATTCAAATAAACCAAATGAAAAATTCACTATGGCCAATCGAAGCCTCCTTTGTCAGCACCTTCGAATGCCATTGCACAAGAGGCCTGTGCCTGGCCACATGTAGGACCAAGACCCATCATAAGACAACCTTGTATTCAGTAACCATGTGTCCTTCGAATGAACCAATGAATGCTTCTATGAAGGGACCTCATAAATGCACCTTCAAAGGGACTATCATGCATGTCGAAGTGTGGAAAACTATTTCAAAGGGGACCATTACCCAGTCGAAGCTGGCACAAAGGAAGCCAATTTCTTGTGGATGTTAGCATGAGAAGATCATTGCTCTGTGAATCGATGGCCAGTTGAAAGGGTCTTGGCCTTGTGCATTGAAAGCAAGCACAAAGGAAGCCTCTGCCCTTGTGAATCGAAACAAACTTGTAGGGGGTTCTTGCCTTACGCAGTCGAAGCCTTGTGAACTTAACTTGATCGAAGGAAGTCCAGTGTCCAATCGAAGACTTGCGGACCAAATCCTGATCGAAGAGTTTTAGATGCCCAATCGAAACTCCTTGTCCAGATGCCAATCGAAAAACAAACTGCTCAGGCGCCAATCGAAAACACTCTGTCTCAAAGCCAATGTAAG